GGGAGAGTTGGGTCAAAATTATAGAGCTACCAAAAGGAAAAACAAAGAATCCAGACCCAAATTCACTTGGGAGAGATGGGTCAAAATTATAGAGCTACCAAAAGGAAAAACAAAGAATCCAGACCCAAATTCAGTTGTGCTTAATTCTGATTTCAGCTGAGGGTCTTTCCCTTCTACAAGTGCAATTCTGGCTGTGTATCAGAATTCTCAGGAAGCTGTTAAAATTAGATTCTTGGGTCCCACTCCAGAGATCTTGATTCTACAGAGACTTGGGAGCCTATGATTTGAGGGTAGCCTATAATTTTTGTTTTTTCTAGTTTTACCATATGATTCTGACACAGCCAGATTTGGAGCCATTCCCTTATATCAACCTTGATTTTGGTTCTTAGATTTCCTTCAGAAACATGCCTATTTAAAACAAAACATAACTATTAACATTTCCCTGTCATCTTGGATTTGATCTTTGTCCATATCTGAATTCTAGAAAATCCTGGGCAAAATTTTTAGAAACCAAAGGAGGCAAGCAATAAAGCTACAGTTACCAAAGGTAAGAAGGCATTACTCAAACTCCCTGATTTCCTATACCAGTTACAGTAGGAACCACTCAAAGGTGGCTCATTCTGAGACACAAAAAGAAAGGTGGGGGAAAGGTATCTTAATCAAATTCGAGTTATCCTAGAAATAATATGTTAGAATAATGCAGTACCATACTACAGCACCAGAGGTTGAGCCCAAGGAGGTTCGCACTGGATTTGGACAGAGTGGAGAAAAACTAAGGAGCTGACACTAGCTATGACATGTCCCTTACTCAGCTCTGTGGGGGCAGGCAAGCTAGCATAAGAAGCTTTCCCCATAGGAAGTCTGCATGGGAAATCTATCATAAGAAGTCCTCACAGTGCCAGGCACAGTTCAAGCCTATAATTCCAGCACTCTGGGAGGTTGAGGCAGAGTGAGTCTGAGACCAGACTGAGCCAGAGCAAGACCTCATCTCTAAAATAATAGCCAGGCATTGGGGCAGGAGCCTATAGTCCCAGCTACCTGGGAGGCTGAGGCAAGATGATCACTTAAGCCCAAGAGTTTGAGGTTGCTGTGAGCTGAGATGCCAGAGGCACTCTACCCAAGGCGACAAAGGGAGGGAAGGAAATCCCCACAGATGGAAAGCCTCAGGGTCTAGTATAGCAGCCAAAACAACAATGGCTGCAGCCAAGCACTAATTACATAAGAATGACATCATACTGTTTTATCATGGTACCTCACCTTCCCCACACATACTGTGGCCCAGAGATCTGATTTTACGTTCTCAACCAGATTCAATATCATCATAAGACAGAAGGTTGTTGATACTAATGGTTTTAACCTGGAAAAGACCAGGAGGTAGAATGGTAAAAGTTATTCTGAGAATCAAAGACTTGAGTTCAAACACCAACTCTGCCTCTTCCACATTGGGTGACCCCTGGGCAGATCCCTTCAACATTCTAAGCCTCTGTTTCCTGATCTCTAAATGAGGCATAAAATTGTACTTATCTCATAGAGTTTTTATGAGATGAAAAAGTACATGAAAATAATAAATGTTGACTATTATTACTTTTGACATTTGCCTATATTTAAACCAAACTAACCTACTAAAACAATTTCTATAATACAGTCTGTTCTCTCTTGCCTCAGGACTCTTAGATATAATCCTTCTTCTACTGAGACCACCCTTCTTTGATCAGGTAACTCCTGCTCATTCCTTAACACTCAGCTATAGTAGCATCTAATCTCAGAAATTTTGTCTGACCTCCCGGGCTGGATCACTATCACCCCTTGTGAGCTCCCAAGCATCCTATGCACACTTCTACAATAATGATGATATCCAATGATGATAATGAAACTCAGTCAGAGAGAGTCATTTGCCAAAGAAACAAAAGCTCTTAATGGAGCCTGAATTCAAACCCAGGTCTGACCAACTCTAAAGCCATTTGGTCTTTACTACTCAATTTTGCTATATGGTTTTATACATGTTTTTACTTGTCTGTCCCATCACATTAAGTTCTAAGTTTGTAGAAGGTGGGGACAATGTCTTTTCTCTATCCACAGCACCTATTTAAGTAATCAACACAGAAAAAGTGCTCAATAATGTTCTGACGAGTGTATGCATAGATGTATGAAGGGGAAAGAGGACAAGAATGAACAAACAAACTCATATCTAGACATCTGTTAAAAGACAGCAACTGGCTCGGCACCTGTGGCTCAAGCGGCTAAGGCGCCAGCCACATACACCCAAGGTGGCAGGTTTGAATCCCCAGCCCGGGCCCGCCAAACAACAATGACGGCTGCAACCAAAAAATGGCCAGGCGTTGTGGTGGGCGCCTGTGGTCCCAGCTACTTGGGAGGCTGAGGCAGGAGACTCGCTTGAGCCCAGGAGTTGGAGGTTGCTGTGAGCATG